TGAGCAAATTGGAGTTTAGTGATTTGGCTACCGATTCTACCAATTCTAATTTAGAAGAGGAACCCATGGCTCAAAATCGGACTTTAAAAGAGCTTGGAGCACCAAATTTAGATCACCAACCTTTATGCATCACTTTCCCTGCTCTGGATGCTAATGTCCAATTTGAATTAAAATCTGGATCAATTCATCTTTTGCCATCTTTTCATGGACTTGCAGGTGAAGACCCTCACAAGCACTTGAAGGAATTCCATGTGGTGTGTTCAAGTATGAAACCCACAGGGGTTACTGAAGAACAAATCAAGTTGAGAGCCTTCCGATTTTCTTTGAAAGATTCAGCGAAGGATTGGCTATATTATTTACCTTCCGGAAGCATCACCACATGGAATAACTTAAAGACACTATTTCTTGAAAAATATTTCCTAGCTTCAAGGGCGGCCAACATTAGAAAGGAAATCTGTGGTATAAGGCAAAACAATAGAGAGTCATTATATGAATATTGGGAGCGTTTCAAAATGCTTTGTGCAAGCTGCCCACACCATCAAATTAGTGAGCAATTACTCATTCAGTACTTTTATGAAGGACTTTTTCCAATGGATAGAAGCATGATTGATGCTGCAAGCGGTGGTGCTTTAGTTGACAAGACACCAGACGCTGCAAGAACTCTAATTGCGAACATGGCTGCAAATTCTCAACAGTTTGGCAATAGAATAGTCCAACCATCTAAGCATGTGAATGAGGTAAATATTTCTGCTCTTGAACAACAAATTTCTGGTTTAACTACTCTTGTCCATCAATTAGCAGTAGGCAATATGCAAACTGTAAAAGCATGTGAAATTTGCTCGGTAGTTGGGCATCAAACTGATTCCTGCCCAACTCTTCAAGAAGAACCTATTGAACAAGTTAACATGGCTGGAGGTTTTCCTGGACAACCTCAAGGTACGTATGATCCGTTCTCCAATACATATAATCCTAGATGGAGGGATCACCCAAACCTTAGTTATGGGAACTCACAAGGGAACCAGTTTGTTCAGAATCGTTCTAATTTTCAACAGTATAGACAACCATTTCCTTCAAGACAACAACCGACCCAAAACTTTAGCTCAGGTACGAATCTAGAAGATATTGTTAAATCTCTTGCTACTAACACTTTGCAGTTTCAACAAGAAACACAACTATTCCAACAAGAGACAAGAGCTAGTATTCAAGAAACAAAGGCTAGTATTCAAAACTTGGAAAGACAAATGGGCCAACTTGCAACTACGGTTAGTCGGTTGGAAGCACAGAGTTCTGGGAAACTACCCTCTCAAACAGTTGTTAATCCTAAAGAGAATGTAAGTGCAATTAATGTTGAAAGTATGTCGCTCGAAAAGAAAGTTGATTTGAATAAGGAAATAAGTGCAAGAATCATTGCCAACAATAAAGAGAAGTCCCAAGATTCTATGGAAAAAGTACCTCGCTATGCAAATTTTCTAAAAGAGGTACGCACTATGAAAAATAAACGAAATAATGAAAGAATTGAGGAAGTGAAAGTGCAAGAGAATGTCTCTATGGCTAGTCAAAGCAATCTTCCTGAAAAGTGCAAAGACCCAGGTATGTTTACTATTCCATGCATGATAAGTGGGGTGAAATTTGAAAATGCTATGTTAGATTTAGGAGCTTCTATTAATGTCATGCCATATTCTGTTTATGCTTCTTTAAATCTTGGACCCCTGAATAAATCTGGTATAATAATTCAATTGGCTGATGGATCTACTACATATCCTAGGGGTGTGATTGAGGATTTGATTGTTGAAGTTGATAACTTGGTTTTTCCTGCTGATTTTTATGTGCTTGATATGAAAAATAATAATCATATTTTGTTAGGAAGGCCATTCTTAAAAACTGCAAAAACAAAAATTGATATTCATAGTGGTATGCTTACTATGGAGTCTAATGGTAAACTTGTGACTTTTAATATTTATGACACCATGAAATCTCCTAGTGATGATAATTTTGCAATTTTTGTTGATTCTTTGAACTTTGTTACATTTGATGAAATTGCTTTGAATGAAAAAGAAAGAAATAATAAATCATCTTTGAGTACTAATCTGCATGAAGGGACTGTTTCTTTGAATATTCATAATCATCGAAGGTACTCAAAAAGACGATGGAAATTTAAAGAAATATCATAAGTCGAGCCAACGACGATAAACAAAGGCGCTACTTGGGAGGCAACCTAAGGTGTATTTGTTCCATTCTTTTTCTTTTATTCCCGTTTCTCATTCAATAACCCTTTTTCTGTGTTTTTTTTTATTCAACATTGGGGACAATGTTGATAATAAGTGTGGGGGAGGGAATTTAGTTTTATTATTAATTATTTTCTTATTTCATAATTTTCAAAAAAATATTTTACTAGTATTTTCTTATTTCATAATTTTCAAAAAAATATTTTACTAGTATTTTATGCAAAATAAGTATTATTTTGAATTTTTTTTTATATATTTTTTCCCTTCTTGGAATTCATAACATGATTGAATAAATAGTTTGGCAAATTGTGATTAGTTTGTTAGCATTTCTTGTTTGATATGTAGTGGCTATATTAAGTAAGCAATAAACCTGTGAGTGTTTTGAGCCATTGACTGACACTTCGGTCTTATTTTCTTTCTATTGTGCGATTTCTTCCATAATTTTGTTTCTCTAGAACTTGCCTTGATTCTCTTTTAAAGCTAATTAGACCATGCATGATTCAAGTGTGATTAAGGCCATTATTTGATCTTGAGCCTCACTAGCCAACTAACCGATTTGTCCTATGATTTATTTCCCCTTGTTAACCACTTTGAGCTTTATGGTCATTCTTTTCTTTTTTTTTTGAACCACATTACAAGCCTTTTATATCTAAAAATAATGCCTTCACCCAGCTGAATAACTAGTGGAGCAAATTTTGAATTATTCGTGTAATCTACGTGAGGTTGTGAGGAAGAAGTGTGGGGGAGGTCACTTTCTTATGTTAATATGATGGAGAATGAGGTGGGTTGTATCTTCATTGCCGATTTGTCACTGGTCTTCTATGAAAAAGAAAACGAAGACAATTCATGATTCCAAAAAAATATGGAAATTGAAAAAAATGAAAAAATGGAAAAATGGAGAATATATGTTTGAAAAAGAAAAATATTGCTGAAAATTTATGAGAAAATGAGAAAGAATCAGCAATTGATTTTGAGTGGAGTTACTTCTAAATAAATGAAGTAAGGGGAAATTCTGGTAATACTGAGGAAGCATTCTATACTTGGTGTTGAGCAAGTATCTTGGATTATTTGTATTTATTTGCTCCTCTAGTTTGAAAGCTTTTGTTTAAGCTACTTTCCTAAATATTCCCTACTTTAACCCTAGCCCCATTACAACCTGTGGAAAGTCCTTATGATTTATGTCATGCATGACTCTTGTAGTGGTGATTGAGAAGATATGCAAGCCTATGGTAGAGCAATTTTATAGGAATGAACTTGAGTGAAATTAATACCCATCAAACACTTGAGTGATGAGTGATATTCCTGTGAGGGCTTACTTATTTAGTTTTCTCAATTTTCAGACAGGAGTGTTATCTTATTAATTGCAGGGTGCTTCAGATTGTTGTTCATGATATGTTATGAGTTTTGGGGATTTTATTTATTTACTTCGCAAATAATATTTTTGCTTGGGGACAAGCAAATGTTTTAGTGTGGGGGAATTTGATATGCATTTTTTACACTCATATTTTAAGTACATCGTTATAATAATTTTGCATTGGTTATTTAATATTATCTAATAATTAGTTCTTTATATATATATATATATATATATATATATATATATATATATATATATATATATATATATAATATATATATATAGAATACATTAATATATATATTACGTACTGACTAGTATATATATATATTATGAATCTTAATATATTTTAAGTATTACTTTATATATTTGTGGGTCCAATTCATTGCAAAAGACAAAAGAAACAAAGTAATTAACATTTGAATGCTTCTTCAGGATCGTCGATTACAAGCGCTATTCTCACGGCATTATTACAAAAAGGGTCGAAAGATTATGTTGTGCGGCACAAAAGTAGGAAATTGAGTGATAGGAAATAGTTTAGGTTTATTTTTAGAATGCTATAAATAGTAGGAGTTTCTTTTTGTAAAATGTTCATTCTTCCCCTCTCGATTATTCTGTAAAGCTGTTATCAATGTCCATTCATTGCTAATTTCTTTAGCTTGGTTTAGTGAATTGAAGCCCCAGAATTGATTATGCTGTAAGATTATTTATTTATTTTTATTATATAATTTTTATGCATTTGGGTATTAAATATTCTTCTAAGTTATTTGAATAGTTGTATCATTTAATTGCTAGGGAGGCCTACTAGTTATTTACTTGATATAATTATTTGCTATATTAGATAATGTTGTGCTACAAATTATTCTAATATTCAGTAGCAACTGGTTTAATTATTGACGGCTTAGTGATAATTGGACTCGGGTAGAATATTTTCCTAAGTTAAATGCAACCGCTTGTGTTTGTGTTATTTAGTTTGTCGGTTTTCCTAGTTCCTATTGCTGCTATTAAATTAAATCTATAGCGCTTGTCTTAGGTTATTTAGTAGTTAGGGGTAATTAAACCGCGTGTGCTTTAGTTACCTATAACTAAGGGAAAACGAAAATGAAATAATTTCACGACAAATATTCAATTTCATATTAATTACTTTATTAATCAATTATCAGTGTTAAACTCCGGTGGTGGATCTTTACTAACCAAGGTTTTCTATTTATAAGTGTTTCGAATATATAATTGCTTTATTCGTTCATTTGAATTTCTTGTCTATTTAAATTCTCTTTTATTTAATCTTTACTCTCATCATATTCCAAACCCCCCCACCTTTAATTTGATTACAAAAGTTAAACTAGTTACTCCTCGTGGGATCGATCCTTACTCCCGCTACTACGTTTGTAAGGTTTTAATTTGGGAGCCTACGACAGCTCACCAGATGGTCTTTTGAGTTCGCCAAGAAAAGAAATGAAGGAAGTGGGTCCTACAGTTTCAAGAAGCCGAGACAAGACTTTCGAGCTAAAACCGCACCCACTCTGCCTCAGGGATCAACCCGAGTAGAGCTTGGAGATCAAGCTAAGGCTTTTGGATGCAAGAAGTGTGGAAAGGATCATGTTGGGAAGGACTGCCAGGGACAAGCGCTTCGATGCTTCAAGTGTGGGGAAAGAGGTCACAAAGCTTTCGTGTGCCCTCTCCAAGCTAATCAGAGAGCCTTGCCATGTGGTGCGAGACCTAGTGGATCCTCGGGAGGGAGTGCTGGCCGAGGTGTAGCTTGAGCAAAGCCTTCGGGCCGAGTGTTCGTGATGGGCTGGTCTCAGGCCTAGTCTGAGGGTTTGGTGGAGGAAGAGATGGCAGGTAACTTTTCTTAGTGTTCGTGATGGGCCGGTCTCAGGCCGAGTCTGAGGGTTTGGTGGAGGAAGAGACGGCAGGTAACTTTTCTTAAGCCTACCTTTACCTTGAGAGTGTGCCTTTCTTGTGTTTCCCTTACCTTTGGTGTGTTTCCCTTACCTTAGGTGTGTGATTCTCTTGTATCTTTGGAGTGAGTTTTCCCTTGTGGTTGCTTGTTGGTGCTGAGTGGTTTTGTGTTAATTTTAATCCCGAAGCTTTACGAGTATACTTTTATTCAAACCTCATCCCCTTGGGTCATCCAAGCCTAAGTTGTTAACTTTAGATTTAGAATAACCAACATTTAGAAAATCCCTACAGGTGAAGCCTAAAAAGCTAAAAGGGTTTATAATTTATAACCACTAAGTTTCGAACCCAGGTGTTTACATTTCCAACCCAACCTTTAACCCATCTAAACCAATTGTATTTCTTGAACCTTATCCCATTTAAATTTCTTTTAACCTATAATTTCCATCTTACCCAAAAAATCCCCAAATTAAAATCTTCTTTTCCCAAATTTCCCCAAAATTTCCCAAACCATTCTTCTTCTTTTTCTCCACCCGCAAGTCACACCGGAGAACCCCCCTTGCCCGTCGCCGACTCCTGCCCATCGTAGCTGGAGCATGCCACCAACACGCCAGCCGACGCCGAGCTTCGCCGCTTTGAAACAGCCGTCCGTCTCCGTCCCGCCGTCATCCAGCCGGAATCGAAGCTGAGCGAGAAGAAGAAAGAGAGAAAAAGGAAGAGAAAGAAGAAGAAGCTTTGGGTAATCTCAGAATCATGCCTAGGAGGTCTAATTTGATGAGAAGAATGGAATGGGTGGATGCCCACTACCTAGTTTTAGAAGGTAAAGCTTTTGACCCTGACTATTTTTCGAGTTCGTTGTTGGAAATGTTGAACTACCAAGGGTTGTTGGATGAGTTTCTCGCCATAAGGATCGAGACTTACCCAATCTTGGTGAAAGAGTTCTACCGTCACATGAGTGTGACTAAAGATAGTGGAAGGTTGGAGGTTACCTCTAAGGTGGGGGGGGGGGGGGTGGTGTAAAGATTGTTTTGACTGAGAAAGGTTGGCTCAGCTTTTGAGTTTAGCCACTACGGGAGTCTCGCAGTACAGTGGTGACTCTTGGATTAAGATGGATAACATGAGTTATCGAAATTATCTGAGTTACCTTTTAGGAAGAGCTAGTGGTTTTACTCAAGCCACGAGGTCGGAGAAAAAGTGGTTATCTGCTGAGCAAAAGATTTTGGTCATGCTTATTTATGACTATTTGTTGCCTAATAATAATAAGAGTCGTTTGTTGGGTAAGCTGGAGTGCACGTTTGCTTTTTGTCTGAAGAATATGGTGAAGTTCAATCTGCCTGCGTTGATGTTGCAACACATGGTCTATTGTCACGACCATAACTGCAAGAGTTTGCCTTATGGCATGGTTTTAAGCTGGATCTTTTCCAAGAAGGGAGTGAGTGTTGATGGTTGTGTGCCTAAGCCGGTGGGCAAGATGGTTTTAGATGCCACAAACCTCCGTAGTTGCAACCTATTCCAACTGGATGATGGGGAGTACATTACTCTTGAACTGGTAGCCAGAAAGGACCCTGCCGAGAGGAATACGTTGGTTGCAGAGCTTGAGATTCCTGTTGGAAAGTTGAACCTCGCGGTTCAAAGCTTGGGAGGAGATGTTAGGAACGAAGGTGAAGAGGGACGGGAAGAGGCCGAAGAGGTCGAGGAGAGCGACTCCGAAAGTGAAGAGAACTTAAGGAGAAAAGAAGTGAGAACCAAAAAGGAGCATGATGCTATGACACACGAGGAGCGTGTGTCACCCTTCTTCGTCAGTAGAATCGGATGATAGAGGAAGGTTTCACTTTCATGAAGACGCAGTTCGTCGCTGTCAACCAGATGGAGGCCGGTTCTAACCGTGGTAGAGCTGAGGAAAACTCGGACGAGGATGCCGAGGAGTCGGAGAGTGAGTCCGTCTAGATCGGAGTTAGGGTAAGCTTGTTTCTTCTCTCGTTTGTTTTTGTCGTTTAGTAGTTGTTGTTTGTTGGTTGTGCTTGTGGCGCTTTTTTGTTTATCTTGTTTGATAGTTTGCTGCTTGGATAGTTAGTTTAGTGCTTTGCCTAGGTAGGATCCAGTTGTTTGAGTTTAGACGTAGTTTAGAAGGCTCCTAGTTGTCGTTGTTTTGGCCTTAACATTTGTGTGCTCAAAAAACTTTTTTTTTTTAGACTTTTTGGAAACCTTGCAATTTCTTGACTTTTGCAAACCTCACACCTTTTGGATCCTTGAAGTTTTGGTTAAATGGTATTCTTATTCCCTTTTTGTCACATGGTTGATTCGTTGTTACCCGTTTGTTTGAACTCGTCGAGCCCAAGCTTCGGGGACGAAGCTTCTTGTTAGGAGGAGAGGATGTGACACCCTGTAAATCCAAACTCTAATTAAGGATTAATTAGAAAATTAATCCTAGCCTCCTTGTTAATTTATTCCTAAAAATCCTGAAAATTCAATAGTTGAAAGACTAGAATTTGACTAGTCATTCAAGATCAAAGGGTTGTACCTTATGCTTCTTGAGTTATGCCCTTGTTTCCTTATTCTCCCAACTTTAGTAAGGGTAGAGATGTCTTTCTACCTAAGGTTTGTGGTCCAAGCTAACCTAGCAACATCCCTTCATTTCATTCATATACAATCTAAACACAAAATATCTAACTTCTCTCTAGAAAGGTGTAGCTTCTTCTCCACGCTAGAATTTGGGCATCCTAAATCTTGCAAGTTGTCTTCCAAGATCCCTACTTGCGTCATCTTGAGCATAGGGGAGGGTAAGATCCTTGCTCTTTTGGTATTTTTAACCTCCTTCTAGATGTCGTTTTCTAAAAATAGAATCTTTGTTGTCTTTTGGTTTGTTTATGAAGTTGGTGTGGAAGAAGAGCTTTAGGAGACGCTTTCTAAGGGTGAGAAAGAGACATTTTAGGCTACAGAGGTAAACCATGCTTTACAAAACCTATTTTCTTACATATATGATGATTTCTTGGCTTCTACTTGTGATTCTTGTGATGATTTGTGAGATTTGATGCATTGTCTTGTGGTGATGCATGTTTAGAGCTTGTTCTTAGGGTTCTTGAATGCCATTGCTTGGCTATTTCTTGGGTTCAAGTCATATTGTTGTTTTGTGTGAGATGTTGGGTGTTTTGGACTTGTTGTTGAAAATTTCCGAAGGGATTATTGTGTACAGGGTGTGGTACCCGCGGGCGGAACGGCGGGCAGAGGCCTACCCGCCGCCCCACCCGCGGGGAACGAAGGCTCATGGGTATGTACCCGCGGTTGGAACTGCGGGCGGAGGTCCACCCGTGGCCCCACCCACGGGGAACGTTGTGGATTGTGGCGGGGATTTGTTCCCCTCATTCTTTTGACTCGGTATTGATGTTTTGACCTCCCGATGTTGTTTTATTGGGCTATTTGTGAGTCTTCTTGATGTTTCGTATGTCTAGAATGGTATGTTAGGAATCCATGTAGGATTTGGTGTCTTGAATCGTGCTAAGGGTCCAACTTTGTGATTCGTTGGGCTAATGTGAGTCTTGGATATTCTTTGGAATTAATTTTGGTTTACCCGTTTGATAAGCATGCTAGTTTGATGTTGAAATGCTACTGTGTGCGGTTTGTTCTTTCCTATTGAGATTGTCAACTTGTGTTGACCATCGTTTGGTGTCGGATTGTGATCCTTCGTTGTTGAGTATAGTTTCATATCTTTGTTGTGATCCATTGATTGATTCCTATGATGTGAACGTATGTAATCGTTGTACCCTTTGATTGATGCTTGATTAAGGTTATTGTTGAACCTTAGTCTTCTTGGTAATGATGATGACTTGTGTGATTATAATTGAAATTGGTGGTGTGTTACTTGAGCAAAGACTCATATGTAGGAGGTTGTGTGATTGAAATTAATGGTACCCTCGTGTACTGAGAGTTCGGCGGTGAATAGGACATGTTTGAGGGGGGACGACGGTCCTCGGAGGCATACGATTGGACTCAGAAGTACAGGGTGGCACTAGGGGGTAATGGTTGGAACTGAAATAAGCCCGGGGGTAGCCATAAGGTTGGAACAGGGCATAAGGTTGTAACTATGATACTTGTGACATGTAGTTGTCATTATGGCATGTAGTTGTCAATGTGTGAATGTGTGTTCTTTGCTAATGAGCATGTCTTGATGTATTCTACTTTGTGATTAGTAGAGTGCATCTCGAGTTGTATTGTCTTCCATGACTCTTTTCTTTCGTAAGGATGTTGATTTCCTTTTCCTTTTGAGAGTGTGAATGTATCACCCCGTGTTATGGCCCCTAAATTAAAATTAATTAAATTATCACCCACCCTAAAAAGGGAATTAAAATCCATTAATTAGCTAAAGAGGGGTCCACCATGGTCCATGGGCCCATATCCCTAAAACCAATCCCCTAGTCCTATAGGAAATAGAATTAGCAAACCCATATCACTTAGACCCTAATTAGGAATCTTAAATATATAAATAGGGACATAGGAGGCAGCTAGATCTTACACCACAATAATCTCTCACCACACCAGAAGTTCCAAGAATTCTCTTAGGAGAAATCAAGAAAGAAGGAATCTTAAAGAAAGACCCTTCATAGCCAAGGAAATTAATTAAGGCTAAGAGGTAACCCATGTCTCAACAAAACCTATTTTCTTCACTATAATCTCCTTCCTTGGCCTCCCTCTATATTCTTGTGTATTGATGAATTCCTCTATGATTAATTGTGATATGTTCTTGATGATTGATAAGATGATTTATGTGCATTCTTGATAATCTTGATGATCTTGATGTTGAAAAGAAGTTCTTGATTTTGATGTGATGATTCTTGACGAATCTTGATATTTCTTTATGTTAAAAATA